TGGCACAGATCCCTATTCCAATGATTTACACATCACCTACTTGCACTCGTCTTTGCAAAAGACTATCATATTCTGCTAATCCCAGAATGGCTTCAGATATTTCTCTCCTGCAGGTCTATCAGTCTTATTTTTTTATACCTGGCTTCCTTCCTTATATTCAGCATAGGTACAGTATGAGCTTGTTTATGATGTAACAGGCAGACAACATTAAAAATGGTTAAAGGCTACAGCTGATAACACTGTTTAGATATTAATGTGCACACATTGCAATAGCTGTTATCTGTGTGACTTTCTATAATATTTTGTTTAGCCATTTCAGTACCTGCGGTTATCATGATTGCCTGTGGAGCATAGGAGGTCTAAGAATTAACTGGGAAAAGTCTCAGTTTTCAATACTACAGCAGCATATTGCTGCCACCATGATAAAATAAAATTTACCCAGGTCTCATTATAATGAAAAATAAAAATCATGGAGGCTCAGTTTACATACATATATTTGTTATTACATTATTAAAGTCTGAATGACTATAATTAGATTAGATTAGATTAGATTTTACTTTACAGAACCAATGAAATGCAGTTAGCCTTTAACCAGGTGTAAATAAAATATATACAAATTCAATAAATTATAATAAATTATGGTATTATAAACTATAATTATAAGTCTAAATTATGGTTCTGTGCAAAATATGCCTGAGGTATTATAAGGTGCATACTGGTAGAATGATTTTGCTAGGAAATATGGCAAGTTGCAATAATACAAGTTCAAACTGGAGATATATACTGTGCAAAATGAGAAGTTAGTGCAAACAAATCAGCGGATAGTGCAAACAAAACCAAGTTTTGTGTTGTGTGTGTTTCGGGGGGGCAACTATAAGATACGATTGAGCTCACAGACAGCTGTGTGGAAGAAGCTGTTTCTTTTTATAACCCATAAATAAGTTTTATCGAACATCATAGTATTAGATGAAACTTTGTGCGGCTACTTGTCAGATATATAAGAGCTTTCTCTAGTTCAAATAGGATTTCGTATCTCATTATAATGAGATAATCTCATATCTCGGTATAAGGAGATAATTTTGTAGCTTCTTATGATGAGATATGTACCTCGTGATCATTTTCACATTTTAACATCATACTTTAATGTTATAATGAGATATGTTTCTTGTTATAAGGAGAAACTGGGCAAATAGTATATTGTCATGGTGGCAGCAGTACACTTCCAAACAAAACAAACACTTTATAAAATTAGGAATATAAAAATATAACAATGATATGATACAACATCTAGCAACAATCACTAAGACAACCATTCATTTTTAATGATGAAGCAAGAGATTGCTAGCAATGAGATACTTTAGACCTGTGGATGGTCTTAAAAGGTGCTGTTTAAAGCAAGCCCACAAAAATGTCAATCTCAGCGAAGTTCCAGTGAAGAATGGAACAGGAAAAGCAAAAAAAAAATCTGCAGTGGACTGGCCCAGTCAATCGATTTCAAAGATGAGGCAAAAATAAAAAGGAAAGAATGCAATATTGAAGAACCTGATGTTATGCTCCGATTACCCAACACCAGTCATTATACAGAGAATGTGTTTGCCAGTATGTTTTTTGCAAAGTTCTTCCACACCAACAGTCAATATTTTAACTGTCTCAGCAGTGATAATGAGTGAATTTCCAGACATTATGCACAAAATATGTTTGAAAAATCTACTTTGTGATTGCTGACTTTAAAACCATTTCAATTAACACAGGAGCCTCTTCTTCTCTCAGGATCATTTAACTGCATTATTTGTGCCTTATGTGGATGACGTGTTGATGCAACAGTTTGGATTGATGATCAAATTAACTTAAATTGCATATGTGTAAGTGTCTCAAGCATATGCATGTGAAAATACCTACCAGCTCTAGTCTATTCACAATTTTATCCCCCTCTTAAACTCATGCATGTTCTTCACAGCTGCTAGGAAAAACAACAGAAGCCATTTCACCACATTTTCATACGATTCCATATGATTTTATGATATTATTTGCTTCATTTATGATGAAATACTAGAAAAGAATTTTGTTACTGATCACTGTCATTAATAAATTAAAGTTTCATGTCTGCAGTAAAGTTGTTTTTTTTTTATTGATTACTTGGCTGGGTAACGGCAATATTTCTAAAGGCACATTACTTTTCATTTGTTTGATGTTCCATTGGTCGGCAACTGGTATATTCTGGGAAGGTAATTCTTTCTGTGAGTGGTTATAATTTAAGCATATTTAATGAGCAGTGGGATTTGAATTCTAATATCACAGCTGCCATTGAGAAGAGGAATCAAGTAGTATTCTGGTTATTTCTAGAAAAATAAAATGGTTTGTGATTGAAGGATTTTTTTTCTAAATTTACCTTTTTTCCATGCTACAGTGAATGTGAAAGGTGGAAAAAATTGACTGCATTATTCCAGGTCATCTCCTATGCAATATTAAAGGTTACTTATTACATGCTGTTTCTATGCATCTTGCCCTTTATAATGCTTGCTTTCAATTTCACTGCCATATAACAATGGATGCATTGACTCCAATGTTGCCCATCAATGAAAGGCTGTATGTGCTTTTATTGGCAGAAAACCCAGTTTTTACAGTTTTTTTTGTATGCCAATTTGATTTTGTTTTATGATGCTCAAAAGACGAATGTTTTTTCTGGCATTCTCAAATTGAGAAGTGTGCACTCTAGTCTGCTTGCAATTTCTACACTTTTAGAAGCATAACATTAGGTGGCAGTGGTACACCTTTGGTGGCTGGTGAACAATCACAAATGAGAATGAGGAATAGAGCTTTTAGGCTGAAGCATTACATTTTATAAGAAGGAGTGTTTGCCTTTTTGCTTTTGCGTTTCATTGCCTACTCATAGGAACTGCATGGTTTCTAAATTTCAGAATAGCAAAATATCTTGTAGAATCAATCTGTCCTTGTGTCTGCTTTGGATTTCATTTTTAAATATTTTACTGTTCTTAGTAGGCCTAAAGTTTGAAAAGTATGCTTGCCAGATAAGTTATTATACAATATGTAAGGATTATGGCGCAGCTTATATGTTTTTAAAGACGCGCATGACGGTGGAGGTGAAGAACAACTCAATGCAAAGCGGAGGAGTTTAACAGCCTATAATGCCCAGCTTGTCATGCCACAACCTGCTTATACCACCTTTACCGCACATTTGGCTTACATGTATCCGAAGACATTATTTTTACGTTAACAAACCGAAAATGTATTTATTAATAGCACTAATACTTGGGCTTGGGTAATGGTAACGGTACCACAGCATGCTGCTGTATTTCCATTCAGTGAAACTGTATCTTCCCAGCTACCAGGGAACGTTCCCAGAACTTTACCAAAAGTTAAGTCTTCTCAAGGTTAGCAGAAAATGTTCTTATAATAACATTAATGGAATTTTAAAAAGTTTTATACTTTAACAAAGGTTCTGTTAATGTCAGCATGATAAAATTATTACCAGAACATACTGTTTAACTCAAATGTTATTGTTGAAAAACAATATTTTACAATAAAATACTATTTTATAAAATTGCTTTAAGTGTGTACTACAAACACAGCATCCGACCTTGAACCCATCACCTTTGCCATGCAAAAAGCCTGCATTACCTACTGCTCTACCATGCCTTTCTTTCACTTATGTAGACTTATTATTAATCTTAGTTGTAGTAGTAGGATAACAATCTGGGAACATCAGGAAAACTGCAAACTGAGCCGTTTCCATATCTTAATTGTAACGTTCTGTAAACATTCCTAGAACGTTGCTAAAACTTGTTATCGGGGTTTGTGGATTTCAAACTACTGTAATAACCTTTTAAAAATACAGTTGAAATACCGTATAGCATGATGTAATGTCTTAGACAGTATAAAAAATTTAATATCGCCAAGCTTACTGCCTATGGTTGCCAGCTCTCGCATATCTGGCGTGACACTGACGTTTTCAGACTTTCATGCTCATGTAATGAATCATAAGGCAAATCAATATTATTTCATAATAAGCCTAAAGTTAGCTACATCAAAAGCATTGGGGAAGTTTGCGAACCTTACAGACTATTTACCAGGTAATAAAACTGTTACATACATGTAAAAATGCTTGCAGACATGTCTCGAATTGAAAATCTCATGCTGTTTTTGTCAGACAGCTGACCAAAGTTGGCAACCCTAACTATTATTAATGTTTTGGTTATGAATGAATGAATGAATGAATGAAAGTTGCATTTATATACTGTAGCTCTTTTTAAGACAGCCAAAGCACTTTATAGAACCAACGGGGAGCCACTTCAACCACCACCACTGTGTAGCCCCCACCTGGATAATGCGACAGCAGCCATTCTGTAAAAACATGCTCTCCACACAGTAGCTAAGGTGATGAAGGGACAGGAGAGAATTCACTAATTAGATATAGGCGCTGATTAGGAGGCCAGATCTGATAGGGTCACAGTGGGCAATTTTAGTCGGGACACTGGGTTGCCACCCCTACTCTTATATATGACCCAAGCAACTGTCAATACACTGAAAAGTCTGCTGCTAAAAAAACAAGCCAGTTGTTCTGGAGAAATAGCCTACTGCTAAGCAGGAAGGCCAGACTTTATGTTCAGACGTTTCTGAGCCAAATGTGTAGTAACCGTGGTATAAGTAGGCACATGCACACTGATGCAAATACAAATTTAAACATACGGCCTATATTTAGACATTGTTTTATTAATTTGGCTTTATGTACCTCTTGGTATTCAGCTGCATTATGGGTAAAACCCGACTCATTTAGTGTTTGACGATTATTAAACCCGATCTTGCTTACCATCTATTTTTTTAATTTAACATAACTGTAAAATATAACTGCACTACAAGTGCAAAACATCAATAAATAGTTTTGGTGTGTAATCACAAAGGCATTGCAGTTTTACACTGAATACTATATTCTGTGGACAGTAAGATAATAAAGGCGAATAATTACTTTATGGTGCAATAACACTTGCGAAAACGTACAATTATTATAATCACTAGGGACGGCCAGCATAATTCGTTTGCAAGACGTGCGGGTATGATTTGTTTCGAGGAAGTTGTACAACTTGTAAGTAATGAGTTACCAAGCGATGTCTCCACGCAAACACATGCGGAAATAAGAAGAGTGCGGCGCCGAGAGTTTTCTTTCCCTATAGCAACATCATGCTCATTAATGCAAACATTCAGTTACTATGGGAGCGTTAAACGGGGAACTTAAACCCAGGTCAGCGCGCGACGCTGCGACACTTGCGCGTGGGACAACGGGGAAAGTAAAATGGGGGACACGCCAGCGACTGATAAAAGATTAGAGTTCCTGGAGGAATATGTGGTAAAGACCATGAAGCTAAAAGCAGAGCGATGGCAGAAATGCATCGCGGCAGAGGAGCATAAAAAAGTCATACAAGAGTTTTTGGATAGGCCTGATCAGATCACTCTTGTGCTGTCTTTGAATGCGGCGGGGCACTTGCTGCCGTCATCTGAATTTCTTGCGACTTCTAGGAACAAATCTGTATACTTTGTGAAGCGGGGCAAAGATGTCCTTAATGCCGATTCTATTAAAAGTAATTTATCATATGGAGATTTATCTCACTCCCCTTTGGACCAGTTTTCCGCACTTGTAGAAGAGGTAAGACTAAATCAATTTGTAGTATGCATTAATTGTAAGACCCTGTGTAACTAACAGTTAAATTGATGACTGTGCAAAATGTCTGTGAATTTCAGTGATTTGAGTGTGGAGTGTCATCCAATAGTACCAAGGTGTATAAATGTTAATTTTCAACAAAAGGAACCAGGCTTCTTTTGTCCAACATAAATTGATTCTGCGAGAATAGCTGTTAATGAATGAGTGGCTGGTTTCTTTGTCCACATAGCGCTGCTTAACATTAATTATTATAGCCCTTTAAGAGGATATGTGGTAACAAATGAGCAGCCTTAATAATGTATTACCAGTAAACAGCATATAATGACATCAGTTCACTTCATTCTAAGTATTGTAGTGCATTATTAATAAACTGTTTTATTTATTGAAAATGTGTTAAGGACCCACTTTATTTGTTATGCTACTTAGGTAGTGGTGCCAGTCCTGTCCAATAACCGGAACCATTTTGAGTGGCCTCATGTTGTGACTCAGGATGTGAAGAGGCATGTTCACACTCTCAAGACCAACGTGTTTGTGGTGGCGGGACAAGTCAGGGGCAAGACACTTCTCTCGCTACCTGCAGGTTCAGGAAGAGTGGAACGAGCAGCCCTGGAGTGGGAAGAGAGGTAAAAAGCATGCCATTATACTGAGCTTCTGAGGTGCAATTTTCTACCCTTTAGATCTGTGAGGTTACTGAGCAGAGCACCATGAGGTTGCATGGTCGCTCAGTGGGCAGCCTCCGGGATTAGTGGTCTGGATCCCGCCTCTGGGGTGTACGTGGGATTTGGTGTTCTCTCTTTGTTGTGTGGGCTTCCTTCCACAGTCCAAAGATACCATGGAATGTTTAAATTGCCTGTAGTGCATTGTTGTGTATGTGAATGAGCTCTATGATGGACTGACATCCTGTTAAGCGTATGCCAGGGCTTGTCCCCTAAGCTGCCTGGGATAGGCTGCCTGGGATAGGCTCCAAGCCCACCTTTGACCCTGACCTGCAGAAACAGATAGAAGATGGATAGAGTAGGGCACCACACTCTGAAATCTCAGTGTTTTTTATGGTTAATTGCACAGTGGGGACATTGTGGACACAAGCATCATCCATTCAATTGAGTCTGTGGTGATTGAATGGATTCATCAAATTTGTGGTGTCCTGAAGAAGGTCTCCTCAGAGTCACTCCTCGAAGACAAGGATCCAACCCCTCACGTGGAACTGCTCTTCTGGAGGAATCGGTCAGTGTAATAAAAGTCCTTGATATCTGGAATATTTCATCTAATGGCCCTTTCTTTTGTTTTTGCTGCCCTCTAAATCCATTCGTACGTTACTTTACTAATAAGTAAGGATTTATTTTCCCAAAAATTGTGAATATTCTTACTTTAAGCCCCCAAGTTGCTATTAAGTAATATATTACCAATTGTAATGTAACAAATCACGGTGTGAACAAATTTCCATTTAATGACACTCAGGTCGAACGGGCCTATTATGCCCCTGTGTGTAATCTCTTTTTTTTATTATTAAAAAAAAGCATATGGTTAGAATGTGGGAACGGTATGTGTCCCAGAGCTCTCATCATCAGAACTGTCTGTCACTTTAATTAGATTACTTTGCTGCAAAGATTAGCATAACGTCTTACCCTCAGTTCAAAAGGTTAGCACTCTTTTTACAGTAACTTGGAGACTTCTGTGGTATTCTGGTCATATTAGAAAAAAACAACAAACATCTTGTGTTTTTATTGATAGTGGATTCTGACTAGTTTTATTGATTTGCTGTTGTGTTTTTTTTTCTTTTAGATTTGCTGACCTAGAATGCATTTACGGCCAACTGAAGTCAACAAAAGTTACCAAAATGGCAGAATTGCTTGAGAGGATGGAGAGCAGCTACTTCCCTGCTTTTCAAAATATGCTGCAAGATGTTATATCAGGTGAGCTACTCTCAGTGCAAGGTTTTCAGGCGAGGCTGTCAATCTAGGTTATGAATGTTCAGAGTTTTACTGAAATAGATCAGATCATTTTTCTTCTTAAGGTGGTAACAGTTGGACCCCTTCAGTGGTTTAAGCTGCCACCCCGTTGTTCTTTGACCTAAACTGCTGAACTTACTGCTCTGCTATCTATATATCATAATTTAGCTTTTAATAAGTATTTAATGAGAATTTTTAGTGGCACTTTTTTTTTTTATCAAAACGGCATCACTTGGAGATAAGCAGTAAAAGTCTAATCTAGTTTCTTTGTGTTTAAAGCTTTGGAAGAAGCCAGGGACATCAACATTCACCTGAAACCGCTTCAGCAGATCTTCCAGGATATGGAGAGCAGAGAGTTCAATGAGATGAAGTGTCAGATTGCACCTCTGATGCATACGGTCTGCTTACTGTGGGCGCATTCCAAATACTACAACGTCCCTGTCAGAATCATCGTTCTGCTGCAGGAGATCTGCAATCTCCTCATACAGCAGGTAAAGTATACACGCATCATACAGTTTGTCAGACCCTTGGCTGTCCAAGGATAGGTAAAGTCTTTTGTATTTTCAAATCGTATTTTCATACCTCTGCTGAAGAGCTGCATGATTAATATCGCAGCCATGGTCTTAACCTTTCTAAATTGGTCATTCTTTATAATTAAGAGGTAAGAAGGGTTTTGGTTTGGGCAATTTGAGCAGACCATGCCCTTAATTTATAGTTATTAATTCAGGAGCGTCCTCATTCACAGTATTTTTATTTACTTAGTTTTTAATTTATGCATGTTTTGCCACCCACAAAGAATGTGTTTTTTAACATTAAATGAAGCTTATTTCAGTGCCTGACACTGAGAGCTTGTTTTCATCAGGCAATGCCCTGTTTTGCTTTTAAGTGGGCTGTAAGTCAAATATCACTGTTTAATATTTACTGTAACTGAAAGTTTTTAGATTTGCATTTTACATTATTTTTATGTTCAATGCATTTTTTGGAATAATCAGTGTAAATAAAATTTGATAGGCTCAGGCCTATTTGAATCCCGAGGATTTGCTAAAAGGAGAGACAGAAGAGAGCCTGACCAAGGTGCGGGAGACCCTGGATGTCCTATATTACTTCCGGCAAAGCTATGATGAGAGACGGGCCAGTCTAAGACAATACCAGGAGAACAGCCAGCAGCAGAGGTCATGGGACTTCTCCCCCACCGTGGTCTTCACTAAAATGGATTGGTTCATGGGGAGGTTGCAGACTATCGAGGCAAGCCTAATAATCTGTAATGGGTATCATAATGGGTGTTTATGGATGTTTAATTGGTCAGCACAGATAATTATGCAATTTATCTCTGTATCGTTTCTTTCCTAAATGAATTTTATACTTGTTAACAGAGTTTTCAAGTCTGATGTTTTTAAATTTTTAACATTTATATTTTTGAAATTAATGCAGCTAATTTTTTTTTTTTTTAATTTAAAACAAAAGTTTTGGGTGCCATTTTAGTGACATTACTATTATGTAATCTATGCAGCACAACTATCCCTCTGATTATTCCATTTTACATTATAGGGTTTTCTGCTGATGGTCCTGGACCTGATGAAGCTGGAGAAGATTGAGTTTGGAGGGACACGTGGAAAGATGCTGAGTCAGCAGGTCCTTCACATGTTTGAGGAGTTCTTGGAGAAGTACAAAGTGTTCACGGAGAAGCCCTATGATTCTCTCAGTGCTGCTAACTTGGTATTTGCAGTGATTCATTCTTCTGTTTTGTACTTTGTATCTTTGTCTGCAATAAGAAAAACAAGAAATTGCATTTAAAATCCTGCTGCTATATTAACTCAGCAAGTGTCTGTTTTGTGGGCCTTGTAGGATTTTGAAGCAGATGTTCACGAATTTAGCAACAAAGTCGAAGACATGGATCGACGACTGAGTTCAGTATTTTGCCAGGCTTTTGATGACGCCTCAAGCTTGGAGCATGCCTTCAAGGTAAGCATAATGTTACCGCAGCAACAGATTGATCTCACGTACACAGACACACACGCTGGGTTTAGGTGCTGTTTTTTGATAGGGAACTGTAAAAGGATTGCTGTGAAAGCACGGTGTTAATCCTTTAATCTTCCTTATATATTACGCTGAAACCTCATACTAATAAAAGAGGCGTGTTGAGGTCTGTACATGTGTTATATACCTGATTTCGAATTTAACAGATCTTCAATCCAACAGACATAACACACAGTTCCCCAGGGCTGGTCAGATGCATTGCTGTGCATTTTCCTTATAGGTTATAGATATGTTTGGCAGCCTTCTTGTGCGACCCTTGATTAGCGCTGGCGTTCAAGATAGATACCCTCAACTAGTCAGGATGTTTGACTTAGAACTGGACAACTGTAAAGTGCTGTACAACAAGCATATACAAAGGGAAGAAGAGCTTGGTGAGAACATTTTAATATTATATAACTAAATAATAAATATAGTATAGTATAAATACTTGAGCTTTATGTTGTGTTTGTACATTTGCATTATTTGCATGTACAACTTTTCCTACTCAGGTTACACCCCGGTCCATAAGAATATGCCCGCTGTCACTGGGGGACTGAGGTGGACGCAGCAATTGCAGGAACGCATTCAGATATCTTATAGAAAGTTGAGGCAAATCGCACACCCGTAAGTTTGACCTCTTTATATTTCTTTTTTTTTTTCCAAAAGCTCTGATTTGAATACATATACAATTATGGAAAAAACATGAAGAGACCACTCTATATTTTATTAAAAATCTGCATTTTTAAATCTTGGTTTAATCGTGGTTCTGCTGGCAGAAGGCTACACTGAGCCGCAGGTTGATTCCAGGTTCAAAATTTCTAAGGCAGTACACAAGAATAAGGTGTAGCAGGACACACTGGGGTATGACCAGAAACTAGCCAGCTAAAGCGGCGGAAATGACCTTCTAATGCCAGAGATGACCATCAAGTGACCTTCAAAAGAAATCAGAAACATTAAGTACAGGTGTGAAGTGTACTGCTAGGACAGTTCATATCAGGCTTCTAGAAGCAGGAATGAAGTGCCATAAAGCAAGGAAGAAGCCCTTCATCAATGAGAAACAGGGAAGAACCAGGGTGCAGTTTGCAAAAGGTATATATCATTCACAGACACACACCCATGAACTGGGAAATTAGTGTAACAAATAATTTGCAGTGGTCTCTTTATTGTATCTTATTTTTGTGTGTTTGACAGTGAGCTTACTGTACGTTTCAGTTTACTAAACTGTTCCTGGCAAGTTATAAATGTCTCACAATTACTCTCTTTAAACAGGTGCATTGAGTCTGCTGAAGGGAATATAACAGTCCAGAAATATGAAGAAATGGTGAGGCTACTTAATGGGTCAGTATTTTTACAGATTTTCTTTCCGTATAGCATTATGTTATTCTTGTATGGCTGAGGACAAAGAGAGATACTGTGGGATGCATTGTACTGTTATTTTTAAAGATAAAACAGAGCTATAATTGTTTGATTACAAGTTTCTCATGTTTTCTCAGAAGGAACATTTGAATGTTTTCCATCCTTAGTAGACACTTTTGTTCAAAGGAAATTATACTGCTTCCCATGTTAGGCAGAGGTAGCCTACTGTTAATATGATGGGGTATAAGATTGGTTTAAAGTAAACACACAAGCGGTGGAAAAAGTTTTAAGTCACAATGAAAAGAACAAACAAAAAAGTAGTATAGTTGTTAAAGGGGCAGTTCACCCCAAAACTGAAAAAAAGTTATGTTTTAGAAGGGCTTTAGTCCTATCTATTTATCTAGGTTGTACTTCTGGGAGTCTAGTTTTGGAGATATCAGCCGTAGTAGTGTTGGTCTTCTCTGGAATACAACAGGACTGAATGGCATTCTTTCTTTAGTGAATAAAGTGCCAAAATACATTTGAAAAATTACTGTAAATAGCAATGTCTCTTACCAGAAATCATGACCTGGTTGCTCAAGATAATCCACAGACGTTGTAGTGAGCAGGAACTATTTACTTCTACTGATCTCCACACACTAATTGTATCACTGCACAGAAGATATCACCTTGGTGCTCATGATCGTATCTTCTGCGCTGTGGTACGATTGGTGTGTGGAACATTATACTGTATTTGAGAAAAGACCGACATTTCTACGGCCGATAATTCCAAAGCTAGGCAGCTCCCAGCAGAACAATCTAGATGGATAAATAACACTTTGCAGTTTTGGGGTGAACTGCCCCTTTAAAGCAAGTACCATTATCAGTTAATAGTGCAGTGAGACTAGTAGAAGTTTTGATGGGGGACTGCCTGTCCAGTCTGTTCACCCACATAAAGCAAGTGGATTTGATGTTACTCCTCATTGACTCGTTTTCTGAGAGGACTGGCACAGAACGGCTGTTTATGTTCATGAGAACCAAACTGAGCCAAAAACATATTTGTCATCACTGACAGAGCTCCACTCATAATAACAAATCAGCACTAATAGTTATAATTATGCATGTACAACAAAAAATGATTATATAACCAAGAGAGGCTGACCCACTGGTCCATTGCTTTATGTTGTTTGCTGAATTCAGCCCCTGGGAAAGAGAGCTTGGGCTCCCCTGCCTTAGGTCAATGTCTGTGGTATTTCTGTTTCATTAAGTGATACACTGCCTTCTTGAACTGTTGCTCTTAGTCAATCAAACTGCCTGAAAGATAAATTTAAAATTAACAATATTTTCATAGGGCAATGTTCAATAAATACACAATGATAAAGGTTGGAAATGCACGGCACGCTTAAATGCACAAACTGTGAAGCGTCTGGTATTTTCATTTCACTGACATTGCTCAGTGTCTGTCCTCTGAGGGATGACCCTCAAAAACTAACAAGCTTCAAATCTTCGTAGTCAAAGCACCCTTCTTTCTGCCTTCTACTTCTGGAGCTTTTGTACATTTGTGTGAGTGAATGTGTGCGTGCAAGTGAGTGGTTCTGCCTCGCGAGGGGATTTCCAGACAAGATTTTCATTTTCTCTACTGGCTGGATAAATAAATAAACAAATGAAAAATAACAAGCAGGCTCACCACCAAATTTTTTAGTGTTGTGAATATGAGAACCCTTGTTAGAAGGAAGCATTCACTATCGAGTTATAACACTCTAGCTGGGCCAATTAGGGGCATCTGCAGTCATTACCTCTCAACAAAGAGGCGTTTGATGTATTACTATTATAGTGTCATTTGATTGCTACTGCCCTTGTTCTGATGCTATGGAGAAATAAAGCTAAATCCAGATGGGTTAGGGAATCCAATATAGACCTCTTTATATGAGTCCTTGTAATTAGGTTATTTACAGATTAATGTTGCAGTTCAGGGACTTGTCATACAGCTTTGCTGCTGTACCCAATAAGACGCAGACTGTACATTTCTCTTTCAATATCTTTTAGTGACTTTAGCAGGCTTGCTTGGAATGGTCTTGCATGTTATATTTGATACTTGTCGCTCTAGTAAATCATCTCTTTTTTTCCTCTTGTCCTTATTCTTTCTTAGTAGGATAAACATTATTGCAACAGACCAGATGGCTAAAACGCTTAAATATTTGTTTGTACAATAATTACTTTTGGCAGCAATTTATAAGCATCAAGGCTTATGTCATGATGTTGTAATATTAATTAATTATTCTCCTAGCGCTTTGCTTAAAGTACCAGTTGGTATTGTGGTTAGGCATGTCCAATAAAGACTTTTTGTTAAGAGTTTGTGATATAGTGTAGGTAAAATATGCTTATAGGTGTTTCTTTCTAATGTTGCCCCAGTTACTCTTGTACGTTGTATGACGTTTGGGCCGAAGCAGTGGGTGAGAAGTCTCAGTACAACCTTACTCAGCCTATAATTTCCAGAGATCCCAAAACAAGGCTCATCACTGTTAACTTCAACCCCCAGGTATGAGAAACCTCATTGAACTTCAACTGCCATTTTATTTTTTAGTGGATCTTTTGTAATTATAATGTATCAACAGCTGATGAAGTTACATTATTTTTGTTAATAAGTGGCAGGGCCATTTCAATTTGGCAACCCATCATATGTTTATAATTTATGTTACCCTGTAAAATATAAGAATTGCATTGGTGTAGGTCAGGGTTCCCCAGTTCCGGTCTTCCGGTCCAGTTTGCAGATTTCCCTGTACAAACACTCCTGCTAAACCTGGTAATTAGCTGATTAAAATGTGTCTGAGCAGGGAAATCTGCAGACTGTGCTGGATCCTGGCCCTCCAGGACTGAGATTGGGGAACTCTTAATTAAAAATTGTATTCTTTTGTGTCCCACAGTTAGTATCTGTATTGAGGGAGGTAAAATACTTGGAATCGAGACAGGCTGAGGCCATACCAGAAGCAGCAGCAGCGATCTACTCCAGCAAAGAAATTATGCAGCAGTACGTTGCCAATCTGGAGCTGACTGCTAGCTGGTACAACAAGGTGATTCAGACAGTACTGGAGGTGGAGTACCCACTGGTCCAGGGACAAATAAAAGAAATTGATGCTCGCTTAATAGAGGCTGAGGAGTCCATCAACTGGAGAAGTGAAGGTAGGCTGAGTTACTGTTCCTCTACTAATGTTTCCCACCATATGAAATGATGATTGTGAAAATGAATGAATGCAATAACACCAACGTGATGCATAATCTCGTGTTTAACAAGGGAGTTCAAAGAGCTTCTTTCTCTCTAAACTGTAAGCTGATATGAGAGCATTTGTTTTATGAAGAGCATGCATTGCTCTATGATAACTGTGAACAGGGACCACCACCCAAGAACTCTTAAGGTTGCTAGTCTTGGAAATATCAGAATACCAAGATCATGTTTAAGTTTTCTTCTTAAGTTTAAACCCTTCAGACCATTATAACAATACACCCAAAAGAGAAACATTTCTGCTCTTTGTTTAGGTAATCCAGAAATGTAAATGGTGAAATTATAGAGCAGAACAGATGGTTAGGAACACACTTGGACATCCTTCCTGTCAATGTAATTCCCCTTACGGGTTTAACTCTTGTGTTTTTTTGTAGTCATTTTTGGAGGGAAAGAAAGTACATTTATCAAAATTAGTTCAAAACTGACAAGCAGTTTGAACTAGGAGGCAAAGAAAAACTTTCCATTCATTCACCCTATTTATTGTACTGGAGCTTTAAATTGTTATTTTTCATATTTTTCATATAATTAATGCTGTGTAACTTATAGCTCATGTTTGTTTTAATTCACCCTTATTATTATACACTTATGTCTTAAATGGAAATCCTGGTCATTTTCTACTCATTAAATTATTCCTGTAAATACTTTGACAGTCTGTATGCTAAAATTTGCTGAATGCTAAAGGAAAAACCTTACTGCAATGTATTCATTATTTTTGTTTCATCCCAAGCTAATTACCTGTGTTTACTAAGGCGCTGCATTATGTTAACGTGAACAGGGATCTGGGAATACATTCAGGAAGTTCGGGAAGCTGTCCATGACCTTGAGAAATGCCTACAGAAGGTGAAAGACAATGTCGAGGAGATCCGGAATGTTATGAAGACCTGGGTGTCTCCCATCTTTGAGAGAAAGGAGGGAAAGAAAGACACCCTCATCAACCTTGATGACATATCGGACAGGCTTGAAAAACGTTACACCCAATTTCGAGACTCAGGAGACAGGATCCATTCCTTGTTAAAGGTACTGGCAGTATTGGCACTTCAATAAGAGATACTTGCGCAGCAAGGAAACTTGTGCTTTTTTCTTAAACAAGGATTGCATACATCCAAGTAGTGTTTCATTTGTTTAACTGTGTTGAATTTGCCATTACAGGAAAATCTAGCCCTCTTTAAAGCTCATCCTGCTTCTGAGACATGGAGGGCTTATGTTGATTATATTGATGAAATGGTCATTGATGGCTTCTATACCAGCATCGAGTGCTCTCTGAAGTTCCTTCTAGATAATACAGGTAAGAATGTTCTAAACCTTTTGTCTTTTTGATTTTGATGATGTGATTTGAAAAAGCAATCATTTTTACCCCCTATTCAGATTCCAGGGCTGGTCTGGCACCTCTTTTTGAAGTCCAGCTAGACCTTCATATTCCAGACATGGTTTTCTTTCCCTCCCTGGAGTTTGGTGCCAGTAATGGCTTTTTTGACTTGGTTGAAGGCGTCACTAATGATATCTACAGGATATCTTCACTGATCCCACGACTGGCTGAGCACAACAATGTTCCCCATTACCAGGTAGTGGGCAACTGCAAAGAAAAAATAATCAAATTACTGGCAACATTTTTGTAAGAAATCTGTTTGCGTCTCTTCACTGTCTCTGAGTGACAATTATCCAGGCCATATGACAATTTATGCAGAACTCTCATTGTCAATAGCCTTATCCATCTATGTATAGTAATTATGTATTAATGCTTATTAAGTAATTATGGACTTAAAAAATGATTGGTTTAGGCTTGATACTGATAAGTAGTTATGTATGATTGAATAATATTTTGTAGAAATGTTTTTGACATTTTTGGCTTTTTCACAGGCTGATATGGAGGATATGGCTGATCTGGCTGATATGAGGCAGCTTCTGATGGACAATGTGCGCCATGCGATGTCCAAGTGCTGCGAATACTGCAGCGCCTTTGACCAGTACGCTTACCTGTACGTTGACGACAGGAAGGAGTTCATGCGACAGTTTCTGCTGTATGGCCATGTGCTCACTAGCGAGGAAATAGAAGCTCATGCAGAAGACGGAGTTCCTGAGAGCCCCCCCTCGCTGAAACAGTTCAAGGAGCAAGTGGATTCTTACGAGAAGATCTATGATGAAGTCCAGCATCTCGAGCCCATTGTTGTGTTTGATAGCTGGATGAGAGTTGATGCCCGGCCCTTTAAAAGTGCCTTGCTGAACATTATTAAGAAGTGGAGTTTAATGTTTAAGCAGCACCTCATTGACCATGTGACAAACAGGTAAAGAATCAGGAGAGCTTCAGTGTTCAGATAATATTAGATTACATTTATTGTACTTCTCTGTCTTTCCAGTGACCCTGCAGAGGACAAGCGGGTATAAAAAAATAGATGGATGAATGTCTGGTGGCTTCTCTATGAAATGAAATCCTAGGCCATGGTGTTCAGGGAAAGTGCTAGATCTGAACTTCCCTTGGTGTGTGACTGGTGGTGTGTTAGTGTCCTAAAATGGCGCGATATACTGGAGTGTATTCTACTGTTTTCATGCTCCAATAGATTTTGGAGATAAATGAATACTAACTAATACTTACTAATAGTTACCGAAAATGGATAGCTTGATCACTGCTGTGCTTCACTTGTAGCCTTTCTGACTTGGAGAAGTTCATCAAAGTTGCTGAAAAACAGCTGAGCAGAAAAGTGGAGGAAGGGGACTATAGTGGTTTGGTGGAAGTGATGGGGCATTTGATGGCAGTGAGAGAGAGACAGAACAGCACAGATGAGATGTTTGAGCCTCTACAACACACCATAGAGCTTTTGAAGACGTATGAGCAAGAACTGCCAGAGGAGGTGTACAAACAATTAGAGGTACCATCTTTTTAAGAATCTCAAATTTTAATGTGTAATGTATGCATTCATTTATACATAAATTATTTATTAAGGGACAGGAGCTGTTACGATTCAAGTAGCTGATATGACAAAACATTAGTAAAAAATACATTCCCATTATATTATATTACATTCACGTTATATTATATTGCATTATATTGCATTATATTAGTATATGCTATAGTAGCAAATTAGCATTGCTTGTAGTAAGTAAATGTCAATATTTTGCATAGGGTTTTGCGTGTGTGAATTATGTTGAGTAGGGAACCCAAGATCTCTCCCTGAATGACATGGTATTATTTACAAAATAAATTACAAAAGTCAAAAGTGGAAGCATTAACAAATGGAATGTAAATGTCTGACATTTTTTGGCTGAATTGAATAAAAGCAATTAGTCAGTGACAGTATATCGTGTTACGTGTTTGTTTTGTCACTTACCAGTCACTTACCATGTAATTATTGCCACGTCAGAAGTGTGAATCGCTGAATGCCCCTTGAATGTGGTGGTCCACTCCTCTGCAGGAGCTGCCAGAAAAGTGGAACAATGTGAAGAAGCAGACTGTCACGATGAAGCAGCATGTTGCACCACTACAGGCTAATGAGGTGGCCAAACTGCGCAGGAGATGTGCGTCCTTTGATGTGGAGCAGCACTGTTTCCGAGAGAGCTTCCGCAAAGAAGGGCCTTTTAGGTAAAATGCTGGAGACATCCCTAACGAGACTGACATTTCAGACTTTAGTCTCTGGGTAAAGGGTCTGTTTTCGTGTTCGCCAGAAAGTTGTAGTTCTATCAATGCTTGATGGAAAAATAATAAAAACATTTTGTATAGATAGATCATTAATAACATGTAATTTCCTTGAAAAGAATATTACAAACTGCAAGGTTACACTAGAATGTAGTAATTTATCATACTTGACAAGCAGATGGACCCCCGTAATGATATGCTACTTGCTGTAACATTCTGTGCAAATTACGTTCAAATGATATACGAATGAATACCGGTGTTAATTTTTGGAGGTGTACATTTGTCACTGCTAGAATCAGGGGATATAAGTCTATGCTGGGCACTCCCAGTCACCTCAAGTCATGCTCTAACTTATAAACTGGCCTTCCATTTATTTTCTCTCTTAGGTTTGACAGTGAAAACCCATATCATATGCTAGACTTAGCTCACCAGCAAATTCAGGAGAAAGAATTCACCATGTCCTCAATTACAGAATCTGCCGTCCTCTTTGAGGTGAATGTCCCAGATTACCGGCAATTGAAGCAGTGCCGCAAAGAGGTGCTACTGCTGAAGGAACTCTGGGATATGATCACCGTTGTGAATTCTAGTATGAGCGACTGGAAGACCACAAAGTGGCACGAAATAAACGTGGAAGACATGGAACTGGAGTGCAAGCGCTTCTCTAAGAACATTCGGGCACTGGACAAGGAAGTTCGAGCGTGGGATGCCTTTTCAGGACTGGACAACGCAGTGAAGAATATCCTAACTTCACTGAGGGCAGTGGCGGAACTGCAGAACACCGCAATCCGGGAACGACACTGGCACCAGCTGATGCAGGCCACGGGGGTGCGCTTCACTATGGACCAGGACACCACCCTAGCGGATCTGCTGCAGCTCAACCTGCACCAATTTGAGGAGGAGGTTCGAGGCATCGTGGACAAGGCAGTGAAGGAGATGGGCATGGAGAAGGTCCTAACAGAGCTGAATACCACCTGGAGAGGCATGAAGTTCCAGTATGAGCCGCACCACCGTACCAATGTGCCCTTAATCAAATCTGATGAAGAACTGATTGAGATTCTTGAGGATAACCAGGTGCAGCTACAAAATCTCATGTCTTCTAAGTACATCGCCTTCTTCCTGGAGGAGGTTTCTGCCTGGCAGAAGAAGCTGTCCATTGCGGACTCTGTTATCACAATCTGGTTCGAAGTGCAGAGAACCTGGTCTCATCTGGAGAGCATTTTCATTGGCTCAGAAGATATACGTGCTCAGCTCCCAGAGGTTGGTTCAAGAAACGGAGATGTTGGATCCTTCAGCATAAGAGCGATATCCATCATTTCTGTGCTGGAAATTTATGTAAACTTCTTAATTTTCAAAACCTACTTAATTATACCTACTACTTTTCATACATTTTCTAGTCATGCACTATATTTCACTGTTTTACTTCATTTGCTTCATTTGAATCTTTGAATGAAATTGCTTGTACAACAGTTTTTATTAATGAAGTAAGATTTTAATCTGTCAGCATGGCTGTGTCATAGTTAATTGCGGTGTATTCCCACATGAAATTCTCCCAAGGATTCCAAACGCTTTGAAGGTATAGATGTGGATTTCAAAGAGCTCGCCTATGATGCTAACAACACCCCTAATGTGGTGGAAGCCAGCAACAAACCTGGCCTTTACACTAAATTGGAGGATCTTCAAAGCAGGTAGGTGGTATAATACGTTTCCATTGTGGTTTTAATTATTTTTCAGGGGAATGTATTTTTCAGTCTGTATATTTCTCAAGTACATTTTAGAAGCAATTTGTCATATCATTTCTGTATAATATGGAATCGTTTCTGTGAATTATTTTCGCGCCGCTATCTGAGAGAAAGAAATAGCAATAAACAAACGGCAAAAACTTATCTTAAAAGATAAAGTAAATATGAGAGTTTCAAATACCCCAGTGCAATGTAACAGTGTAATAATGCATTTGCCTTCAGACTGTCTTTGTGTGAGAAGGCCTTAGCAGAGTACTTGGACACCAAAAGGCTGGCCTTCCCCAGATTCTACTTTATATCCTCAGCTGATCTCTTGGATATTCTCTCCAATGGCACCAGTCCTTATCAGGTATGAAATGTAAAAACTGTCACTGTTCTGAATGAGGGCAACAATCATGAGGTCATTGTATATTCAGCAAGACTGAATATATCTACTCCAGTAAGCACAGCATGGCATTGACATACATACATATTTATTTTACGGTGCACAACACTGTCACCATGTAACATATTATTGTGTTGCCATGTGTCTTCAAAAATGTATGTGCATATGGATGTGATTTCCAGGTTCAGCGGCATCTCTCCAAGTTGTTCGATAACACAGCAAAGATGAAGTTTCAGCTGGACCAGGATGGCAATCCCTCTAAGACTGGCCTAGGAATGTACAGTAAAGAGGAAGAATATGTTGCCTTTAATAAGCCATGTGACTGCACTGGCCAGGTAGGGCATGACAGGTGCCTGACTGCTGGGGGCAGCTTAAAATGTTAGACATTTTTTGGTTTATCTGTTTTTAATATATTTTCACTATGTTATTGCTGCTGAGGTGGTAATTGTAACTGATTATAACAGATAATAGCAGATTACTGAGATGCTGAAGATTGTAGTATTTATTTCCTAATTTTTGTTCATGTTTATACACAGGTTGTGCCAGTACTGTCTGGATAATGTGCATCATGTTCTCGCATATAAATACATGAATAAGGCAGTATTTGTATATTGTAGGTTATGTGACTGAGATAAAACATGTTTCGGTTTAAGGTTGAGACCTGGCTAAATCGACTGCTGGACGCCATGAGGTCAACGGTGCGCCATGAAATGACCGAGGCTGTGGCGGCCTATGAGGACAAGCCCAGGGAGCAGTGGCTGTTCGATTATCCTGCTCAGGTGCTGTCTGAGTTTACTGGTGTTACTGGTGATCGAAAGTGTTGCTGTAGTATCACATGTATTCAGATTGTATTAAACACTCAGTCTTCCTGTGTTCAGCAGAAAATTGGAGACGTAATGTCTTTTTGAATATACATGGATATTATTTCTCCGATTTGTTCTGGGAGAGTACTGTACATTCAGTTTATAATTGACTGTATGGAGTTCCCTTCTCACAAGTTAGATGTACAAAAATGCAGTGTTTTATAGCTGGAACACTTTTAAATTTGGCAGGGGTCTGAATGAAATGCCATAAATTATCTGACATGATTTTATTGTGGATAGCAGACTGAAATTGGACTGTAGGATTCTATATCAGTTACCTAAATGGCTCAAATGTTGACATTTTAATCTAAATCATAATGGCCATTTTATCATTTTAATTACATTCAGGAATGAAATAAAATGAAAGTGGTGTGATTTATTTTCTTAGGTATGATTATGAATAATAAGGAAAGGACTGTGGAGAAAGTAATAGACCCCGGATTTGTTTCTGTTTCTTAGCGTATTCATTTGCCCTACGTGCTTTTGTTGAATGTGCAGGTGGCTTTAACATGCACCCAGATATGGTGGACAGCAGAGGTTGGCATTGCCTTCTCCCGTCTCGAAGAAGGTTACGAGAATGCCATGAAGGAATACTACAAGAAGCAAGTCAGCCAGCTGAATACTCTCATCACTATGCTGATTGGCCAGCTCTCAGCCGGAGATCGTCAGAAAGTTATGACCATCTGTACCATAGATGTACATGCCAGAGATGTGGTTGCGAAAATCATCTCTCAGAAGGTATAGGAAAAGCATCACACTGCATTGCTATATGCTAGATTTCTTTGCATATACATGAAAATATGACTCAACTGAGAATTCAGGGCATTCAAGCATACAGTATAATCCGAAATAGTGAGAGTTGTGAGAGCTTGCCAGAACTGGATTTTGAAGTTTTTGCTGATTGATTACAAAATCAACGCTTTTAATTTGCGTGTTTTTGCCTTGTGGTTAATGTCACAATTAAATCCTGAGGCATTTTGTTTATTTTCTGCACAAAACATCATCACAGTTGGGATCTTATGTGAATAACAAGGTCTTTTTTTCTGAATCGCATTTAGTAGAGACCAGGGAGCACTGGGCTCTCTGTGTATTTTCGACATGCCGTCCGTTTCCTTTGCAGCCTGTAAATGCTTTTGCTTGAGACAGTATAAATGCTTGCCTTGCGTTCTTCCTGCTCACAGGTGGAGAATTCCCAGGCATTTCTGTGGCTGTCTCAGCTGCGACATCGCTGGGATGATGACAGACAGCATTGCTTTGCCAATATCTGCGATGCGCAGTTCTTGTACTCTTATGAATACCTTGGCAACACACCACGTCTGGTTATCACCCCACTGACAGACAGGTAGAAGTGTTTTTTAATTACTAAGCATAGATTTATGACCCGTATTGGAAGTGGAGTGGACCGGTCCTGAAGCGATAAAGACATTTTATTTTCCATTTAAACCTACTTGAAGATGTAGATTAAGCATAGATGTAGAATTAGCTATAAATCATAGAAGTGCAAATCACGAAGTACATTTAGTTTACCCAAAAATAGATTATGATTCAGAAAGTAACCGTTGATTTGTCAGCCATGAGTTCATATACTGTCAAGCAACCTGTGTGTTTCAATGCTTCAAAAATCAGTTCCCATGTAATAAACAGTTCATTTGTTGTCATTATCTCTGTAGTTAGATTGGAGGCATTGCAGTTTTGGCTTCTGTCTCTGAATATGATCAGATGATTTGCTGTTATTGCTTGCTATTAGGATCATATTTATGTCTTTTCAAGCCAATTAAGTAAATTTTTTGAAGATTACTTTGTTTACATCATTTTCAGAGGATAATTAGCACAGCGTGGTCATGTAAAAATTAATATTTAGTTGAAACCTAATGTACGTATGTGACCATTTTTCCATCCCTTTCACTTGACGTGATGTATTTCTGTGTTCACGTGTGGCTGTGTTGATAGGTGCTATATCACCCTGACCCAGTCCCTGCACCTCACCATGAGTGGGGCTCCAGCTGGGCCAGCAGGCACAGGCAAGACTGAGACCACCAAGGATTTAGGCCGAGCCTTGGGAATTATGGTCTATGTCTTTAACTGCTCCGAACAGATGGACTACAAGGTATACTGTTGCATCGCTGTGAGATACTACAGAAATGTGGAGAGGATTGCTGAATTCTCTCAAATGTTCTCTGTTATATAATGTCTATGTTTAAATATTTTATGTTTATTTCTTTTAATTGCCCTACTTTGTACATAACTGCCATTTGCTTCTCTATGAGATTAATCAAGTTTATCTCTGTCAATATGGAAAGCAAAAGCTTTCACAAAACTGCCAATCTACATTTATATTGCAGATATTTAAGAATCCTATTTCGATGAAAATTTTTTTACTGGCTATACTGCGTGAAGCTAGGATGCTCTGACATCTCTTAATTTGCATACTAAACCATTATGCAAATTAAGCAACACTGCTTAAATAAATGGCTTTCAGTTGAATGTAAAACTTGAGAGAAGCAACATTCTTTGAGAGAAAAATGGCCAGAATCACTCATTTTCATGCATATTGAAAGCACGACTGACGATTTATTGGTACCTATGATTAACACATTTAGTACAAGAGACATACATTTGGAAAACAATTTTAGGACACAAGTAAATTTGATGAAACAGTTTTTTCTTGCTGATGACAGTATTCAATGATTTCTTCAAAAATACAATTTGGTACGTCTTGCTCATGTCCTCGTGACATATTAGCCATAACATTCTTGTCAATGACTATGAGAGAAAGATTCAATTATGCCAACATGGATAAAGCTTTGACAATTCAGTATTTTCTATCTAAAATCATCTGTTAGTTCTTCTGAATTTTCTCAAGAGTGTAAGCCATAGCTACAGCTGTTTATGAAGCTGTGCAAAGCTCTGATATCTTTATGCATAAATGAGAAAGATTAGTTAGTTTGCCAAATTTTTAATACATATATATACAGTATAAATTTATCTCCCTAGTCATGGCTGAACTGACTTTCATTTTCCTATACATCATGTTTAAGACCTGCTTATTTACCCATTCCCCCAAAAATATGTTCAATAGAGACATAACTACAGTCTTTTGATATACAGTAGCTTAAATTGGGCTGCAGATTTTACAAATGTGAAATGCAGGCAGGGCTGGCTCTCATGTTTCAGGGCCCCTAGGCAAAGCTTTTTTTACTTGGGTGCCCCCCCCTCCCATCAAGAAAATTGATGATCATTTCACTTCCTCTGCAATGCAGGTCATTCGGACCCTAAGTGACTGCCTGCACTAGGTATAGCTAGAGCTGGTCCTGATTGTTGGTTACATTAAATATGCTGATTTATTCCAAGTCCAGTTTATATTTGTCAGTCATAATTATTGAATATAAACTATGATGCAATGTTTGAATTTAAGCATTTTGTGCCATAATGATTTAAATACATCTTTTCTGCCTGATATAAAAGGTGCCTTTGCAATTTGTGTACAAGGCTTAATTTTTTTTCCAGAGGATATCTTCCAGTTAAGTTAACAGTCACTTATGCACGCAGAGAAAGATGTATAATATGTGTTATTGCAGACACGGAGTGTATTTTTTTGTGTGGAGTTTGTAACTCCTCTCTGGCCACATGGGTCTCTACTGGTTACCCTGTTTTTTATCCTTTGGCCCAAAAACGTGCGGTTAGGCGAGTTAGTGTCTTTAAATTGTCCATAATGTGTACAAGTGTGTGCCCTGGCAAGCACTGACCCCTGGGATCGTCATTCCTGGAACGGGCCCTGTGCTCACCGTCGGCCTGCTCTGGATTCCTAGTCATGGAAAATTGATGGATAAATCTCAACTCAGTGTTGTTTACTGTGCTGCAGAGTAAGACTTATTATTGGCTTATTATTGTCATCTTTCCCCAACACTCTTTCAGTCCTGTGGGAATATTTACAAAGGCCTAGCACAAACTGGGGCCTGGGGGTGTTTTGACGAATTCAACCGAATCTCTGTGGAGGTGCTCTCCGTTGTTGCTGTACAGGTGAGCCTAAAGCTGCTGATGTAATTATGATTATGATTTAAAGAATTATTAAAAGTTATCAAAAAATATTTTGCTCCTTGAATTTGTCCTTTAGGCACATTCAGTTTACTTCTATCTCTCTTGTTAGAGCATATAAGCATAAATTCAACTAAAAACACTCCCAAAGAATAGGTATGAGAATAGGTAATGAAGGACTTGTGCTGTATACGTTTTTCTGTCTTAATATAGGAAATCTTGTTTGTAATAATGCTTGTTTAACACGAGTTTGCTATATAATCAATATGTAGCTAAGTAGAATAATTTCATTTATATTTGTGCAGATTACATTTAGAAGCAGTGCCGGTGGATTTGCCACCCTGTCACACTTGCATGACAAACATCTTCATCCTTAAATTACTGGGCTTCATTGGTAATTGGGTGGGAAATGTATAGAAAAAAGCTCTTATTGAGCTTTAGGTTTATAACTAATGAAGGTAAAAGTATTGTTTCCTACTGTTGGCACATCAGAAATTATGAGAAGATCAAGAATGAGTGGCAGCATGTATAACGAAAAACAAAGACTGAAATTTAGATGTCAGGAAATGATATATAAACAAATGGTGTGGAAAGAACAGCGTTCCGTTTGAATAAGGCACCTCTAATGGCACTGCTACTTCAAATTAACTGCATGTATTATAAAAATGATTGAACTGTCCTTGTCTTTCTTACATACCCACCCATGTTAAGCAAATGTTATTACATATATGATTCTTTTGAATTGGTGTAGAGTTATAGAAATGCCTCCGTCAGACAGAATAAGGTGTTGCGTATAGTATTTGCTCCTCTTTCCGAAATCTGCAGCGCTGCTGATGGAGTTTTCTCTGGGGTGGCCCTCGTCTTTGGGACTCCATTCCCTCTGATATCCGTAACTCCCCCTCTCTAGCAGGCTTCACATCTCGCCTTAAAGCCGCCCTGCTCTCCCAAGCTCTCTGGCTCCCTTCACTCTGCTGTCTTTACTTTGATCCCTCTGTGTCCCTCTCGCTCATCTTGCTTCATCCGTCTGCCACTTTTATCCCGCGTTACTGTATTGCTCGCCATCCTCTGCTTGTTGGGACTCTCGCTTTCTGTGTGAATTACTCCTTTGCCGTGTTCTGTGTTCTTCAATATTTTTTGCGTATTTGGATTTTGAAAAGCTCTGTATAAATTTGTTGTTGTTATTATTATTATTATTATTAGTAGTAGTAGTATTATAAAAATGATGATTAGGCTAACAACATTTTTGTAATTTTTTTTTTTTTTACCTGGAAAACATATTTTTTTAATTTTTAAACAGCATATGGTTATGTAATCTACGTATTTTGCATCAGTAAAAAAATCTTAAATAGTCAGAAAAGTACATATGTGGTGGCAGATGCTGTGGCGTTTTGCTTAATATTATGAATGTCAAATTTGTCATAAAACACTGCTATACAGCCAGCTTAAGGTTTTCGGCGGTAGTCCTTATTACTGTCCTATATTTAGAAAATGTGTTGAAGCTGACATTACAGCCTGTAAGGGTTCCAGATATTTTTAAACGCGATTTATGTCTATGGTGATATAACAGTGCTACAGCTGACAACAGCATTGTTTTAGCTGAGACTGAATTCACATTATTCAGGTTAAGAGCATTCAAGATGCTGTCAGAGATAAGAAGAAACGGTTCAGCTTTATGGGAGAAGAGGTGAACCTGACTCCTTCTGTTGGTATCTTTATTACCATGAATCCTGGGTACGCCGGGAGGACCGAATTGCCAGAGAATCTCAAGGCACTCTTTCGGTAAGCATAAAACATTATGAGAACAAATCTGTGAAAACCCTGGGCTGACTTGTGTTGTACTGTAATGACTTTTAAATAAGATGGGCTCAGCACACAAGCCTAGGAAAACCAGTCTGCAGTGAACATTCATTTTAGTAGAGGAATCGATTCAAATGTTGCATACAGGGATATTTTTCACCCATAGCAGCATAAAATACACACATGGGTGCCACATGCATGACTCATTACAGTCCAATAAAATATTCCAGATACATCGAATACTTCATATTGCTTGACTATACTGTATATTGTCCTAAAATTGGCTCCTCTCTGCTTTGTTACTGCTTTCCATATTGGATTAGAATTCTGATTGACAAGTGAATTAATTACTTTATGGAGCAGTTCTCATTAGAAAGTGGAAGGGTGACGCAGAAATGGAGAATATATTATTAACGCAATCATAGAAACTTTAACTGAATTAAATCATTCCCCTCTTAACCCTCAATCATTATACTTACAACATAATACTCGGGCAGAACTGAAGTTTGATCTCCCTGACAAATGGGCAAGTTATAAATACTGTTCTTTGATTATAGTGAACTATTAATTGTTGTACTAATTAATTTGTTGTACATATTTTTATTTGTGTGAATAAGCCTTGCTTTTATAATATAGCTCTGTATGAGTCATATTTTATTTCATCCTAGACCGTGTGCTATGGTGGTTCCAGACTTTGAGCTAATTTGTGAGATTATGTTGGTGGCTGAAGGTTTCATTGAAGCCAGGCTTCTGGCCAGGAAGTTCATTACTCTGTATCAGCTCTGCAAAGAACTTCTTTCAAAACAGGTACAGCACACCTTAATGATTGCATACATAAATTGTGCGGCAATCGGTACAATATAATGTTCACTGAGGGTGATGTAACATTTGAATGAGATTTAGATCTGAAATGAAATATCACTTGGTATTTGGGAGTTTTGTATGTTAATGTATTTTTATTAAAGAATGTGCATTTGTCTATTGAGGCAACACTGGTAAACACCTTAAAAAAGTGGCATGAGTTATACAACTACAATATGTTTTTTTCCAGTTATTACAAATGTATGAATTTAACGTTCCAATTCATTATTTTGCAAATGATGGAAAACAACGCCTAATTAATTTGCCTGTACAGGCATACTCCACAACAGCAGTATTACTTCTCTTCATCATTCTAGAAAAGGAATCATTGCCTTTGACTGCTGTTGCTGATGAGGTCTCACATCTGGGTTTGACAGGATGTAGTGTATCAGTGAAAGGACTGGAGGGGCCTAGCACAGCGGTGAATGTACCATATTTATGCTTCCTGTCATTTTCCACTTCACGTTATGTATGCCTTACTTTACTGCAGGACCACTATGATTGGGGTTTGCGAGCCATTAAATCAGTCTTGGTGGTAGCAGGGTCGCTGAAAAGGGGTGACCCAGACCGTCCAGAGGATCAGGTACTAATGCGAGCCCTGCGAGACTTCAACATTCCCAAGATTGTGACAGATGACATGCCTGTCTTCATGGGCCTCATTGGGGACCTTTTCCCTGCGCTGGATGTCCCCCGTAAGAGGGACTTGGAGTTTGAGAAGTTTGTCAGGCAGTCTATCCTTGATCTGAAGCTACAGGCCGAAGACAACTTTGTTCTAAAGGTGAGTTTTTAATCAGATTCTCCTGTACATGGAATCAATCACTCCTACACCCACCTTTTCATAAAAAAGACAGAAACCATCCAGATAACTGAATTACTCTGTAGAACTTCTGATGATTAATATTTTATTGCCATTTAGTCCAACAATTTTTTTTTCTACACATTTCCCCCCAAAAGCAATAAAGCACATATTGTAACACCATCAAATGGGGATGAAACTCCAAGAGGTTCGGAAGAAATGGTCAAAGTAATATACTACAGTATGAGTTATGATTGCACTTCAGTTTCCAGATCTTGAGTTCTAATTCCAAGCATTAGTGTGTTGTTACAGACATCAGAGATGTGAATCTAGAGTCATGGGAAATGGGTACAATCTTCAGTGAAGTTAAAAGGTCAAAGAAGTACTCAGAATAGTATTCAAACAAACATATTCATCCTTCCTGAAGGCTGTTAGCCCTGGTGTTGTCTGAAGGAGAATAAAGATGGCGATGTACATGGCCACAATCTGCATGCGGAACAGGAGGTCAAGAGCTTCATCTGCTGTAATTACTTCAGCTGCATGCAACCAGTTTTCTCTGATTTGGGAATGGAAAGCCGTTTTGTAAAACGCATGTCTGTCCAGTAATGGCGGCCATTCATAGACATCATTTTGAAGCCACAGCCACTGGGCTTTTTAAATGTTAAGCCCACTCTGAACCACGGGATGGTGAGGCGAGTCGATGGCATTGATTGAGCATGCCATCAGCATTGTGGGGTAGATCCCTCAGTGTGAGAGGGAAATGATTCATTTTGTTTTTTTATCCCCTAGTTTTCCAAGGACTTCAATAGATGTAGAAGTCTAATTGTGTAGCACCACATCAAAGGTGTTTGACATGGCGCCTGCCTAAACAGAAAGCCTGAATACTGTTCTTTTTTCCCTTTACATTTTTTATTCTAAAAGATAAAGGTGTCACCATGTTTAAAACATTTTTCGGTTTGCATTTTGTAATCTCCAAAGCATTATAAATGTCATATTTATTGTTGTACATGAATGAATTGTCATTCATGATTCAAATTAGGAACACTAGGTGGGTATAAAAGCAAAACACATTCCGTACAAAGGATTTGATAATGGCAGGTGCAGGAATGGCTAGAATGGTCTGAAAAATAATTGTCCTCTACATAAAAGAAAGCCTTAGAAAAATCCCAGAACTAATTTTAACCCAAAAAATTGAAGTTGTGCTGAAAAATGAAGGAATGCAGTTGTTCCCTGATTTTCAGATATCAGTGTTCCTCAGGAAATGCAATCAAAACTATTTGCGATTATGTTTTTGAGAGCTGTGGGGTTTCATATGGAATTTTCGCTGTAGCGTTTTAGACTAAACGGGAGTGCATGTATACAGAGGAAAGATACATACGTGCATATATGTGTGTGTGTGTGTGTCTGTATCTGTATCTGTGGGTTTGCATAGATCACATTTGAGGACCAAATTACCCCCAAAGTGAAGTAAAACCTGACATTTCCCTATTTTTGGGGGCATCTTTTGAGGTTCCCATTTGGATAACCTCAGTTTTATAAAAAATCTATGAATGCAGTCAAAAAAGTAAAAATGTCAAAAGTCTTGTATTTGGGTTGGTTACTTATGGTTAAGGTTAGGGATGGGTAGTGGTTAAGGGTGTCGTGATTGGGATTAGGGTTTTCCCATAGAAATGAATGGTCGGTCCCCATTTACATAGGAAGACCAACTTGCGTGTGTGTGTTTGTGTGTGTGCGTGCGTGTATGTGTGTGTGTTGACAGTACAAGAGGGAGGTGTTAGCTCTAGCCAGGACATAGAAGGTAGAGTAGCCAAAACACGAAAGAGAATAGGCATGTCAGTTGTATGCCCTGCCTATTGTTTGGAGATGTGAAGGAGCAGAAACACTGTTGGTTTATTTAGTCAGTGCCAAAGTTTTGAAGTGGATGTAACCTGTGACTGGAAGTCAGAACACATGAGGAGACGACTACTAGTATATTGCTGGTTTTGATGATCTAAAGAGAATTGATTAAAGAGGCAGGGGGCAGTATATTGAGCTTAGTGGTCACAGAGGAAATATACTGTACTATTGTTTGGACCAGCAGTTGTGTTGATTCTTGGGATGAGGAGCCAATACATCCATCTGATTTCACACTGGCATTTTTTGATTTTATTCTGGTAAATGCAAATAGCCAATAAGAGAAGAAAGTACAAAGGGATCAAATATATGAGTGGCGCTCCCTTTTAATCTCAGCTTTTCCACAACCTGCCTGATCCTGTGATGAAGCAATGCGTGTGAGTTACAGTGAGCTGTACCGTTCTTTCAGGTGGTGCAGCTGGAGGAACTTCTCGCCGTTCGACACTCCGTGTTTGTGGTGGGCAGTGCCGGCACAGGGAAGTCTCAGGTGATGAAATCCCTAAGTAAGACCTACCAGAACATGAAGCGCCGAGCCGTGTGGGCTGACCTCAACCCCAAAGCCGTCACCAATGATGAGCTCTTTGGCATTATCAACCCCTCCACTCGGGAGTGGAAAGACGGTGAGGTGTTACGCCTTTTAGTTACCTGATAGTGAAAGTGTACAGAGAGGATAGGATTCATTTGGCGCCGTTTGTGAAATGTGATGTTATTTTGGGTGGGACGACTTTAAGCAAAGTCCAAGATGTCTAATAAATGTTTTGTTTTTAGGACTTTTTTCCAGTATCATGCGTGAGCTGGCTAACATTAGTCATAATGGACCAAAATGGATTGTGTTGGATGGAGATATTGACCCAATGTGGATTGAGTCTTTGAATACAGTTATGGATGATAACAAGGTAAAACTCAACCACTGATTGTATACCCTGGTGGTTCACTCATACGCTTTTAGAAAAGCCATATTATTGATTTGAATCACAATGGTGCTAGTCAATACCCATGGAGGAGTTCAACAAAAGCTCTGGTCATGTTCTGGTAGAGCCGCTCATGTGTAATCCTCTGTAACAGGTGCTGACTCTGGCCAGTAATGAAAGAATACCACTGAATCCAACTATGAGGCTGGTATTTGAGATTAGCCACCTGCGTACTGCCACACCGGCCACTGTGTCTCGAGCTGGTCAGTTTTGTTTTTCCCATGCTTAATGGTGATAGTCATACCGTGCATAATTATATACTACTGCATGCCATGTGTAACATTTTAAAGGCTTTATTTTCAATCCTGATTATTTTTTAAATCTTTTAAGGTATCCTATACATAAACCCTGCAGATCTGGGCTGGAATCCTCCAGTCAGCAGCTGGATTGACAGGCGAGAAATCCAGTCAGAGAAAGCCAACTTGACCATTTTATTTGATAAATACCTTCCTGCTTGCCTTGACACCCTCAGATCAAGGTATCTTACTGCTCCAATGTTGCTGAATGAGAAAGATTGAAATAAACATATAAATAATACTTGCTAAGCAACTATTGATACCGCAGAGCATGCTAATTAAAATATGACATGTCATTGTAAGATAAATGCAAAGGATAACATTTGCATGTTAACAAAAATATCTGTTGCTTGATATACAAGTATTTGCTTCTAGATAATTTACTTTAACTGAACTGAAAACACACGCAGAGATTGTATGTCTTCATCATTGCTCAGTATTTCTCCTCTGAGTGCTCCGCTTCTTTGATGAAACTGGTGACTCGGATTCTTCCGTCATTTGAGATTAGCCTTCAGTGTCCTGGGTAAACACTGATCAGGACAGGCTTGGGATTACTATGATTGTCAGCCACTGAGCATAGTCATGTTTGTTTGTTTACATGGGTGACTTAATTTGTGCAGATTTAAGAAGATCATCCCAGTTCCTGAGCAAAGCATGGTGCAGATGCTTTGTTATCTATTGGAATGTCTTTTAACCCCAGAGCACACCCCTCCGGATTGCCCCAAGGAATTGTATGAATTATACTTTGTGTTTGCTGCCATTTGGGCATTTGGAGGGGCTATGTTCCAGGACCAGGTAGGCATGCATCTCTTGATGAGGAGTAGGAAAGCAGTCATTTATGCTTCACGTTTCGAGTGAGATAGTTTTCTGTGTTTGGAATGAATTTGTCATTGCGCCTTAGATTACATGAGCTGTAACACAGAAAATATTATAAATGCTTATCCGTTTGTGTGAAGGCAGGATTTTCCGAATTTCACAGATCATTGTAAAGGTACACTTGACTGCTAATGCTGCATTGATATTTCACTAGCAAGAGTGGTTTTTCCATTAAAACCTGGACTCTGGAGATATCGCTCAGTAGATACCACGGCAACCACTATAATTGACTGGAGCTTTCTCACTAGAGCAAGCGCAACATTCTGAAATCTGGTAACTGAAGTAACTGAATTCCTTCTACGTAGCTGCTGTTAAATTATCCCCATACCTCTTGATTGCAGTAGGTGTGCGTCAAGTGGTCGCGGCAGCCCAGCAGCCATGCAGAAGAATATTCAAATGAGGCATTCCTAGCACAAGAAAGCTTCATCTTATTGTATGCCGTCTATGACAATGACAGGAAGCCAGAAAGTGGCGCCGCCAAACGGCAGTCTTGACTAATATACATTAGTCACTCAGGCAAACAAAGTCATGCTGTTACGAAAGCATTTGTTCGTTTTTGTGGCACATCTGCACTCTGTAGGCTTTATCACTTAGCCATGCTATGGAATGCCCTTCTGAATTATGAAGGTGACTGAGCTTGATTTGTTTTGCTCTCTGTGAACGAGAATGTGTGCAAGACATTGTACTGCATAGCTACACCACTTAGCATTATGAGCAATGTTCCGGAATTCTTCGCCATTAGAAAACCTCTTGTTGGCACAGTCTGTCAGTTGCCCTGCTATTGCCATTCCTTTATCACGTAAATAAACTGATATTCCTGTCATGCTTGTTTAGAATATCTATATCTTGTATTAAACATGGATTGGACACAGTTTCCCCTTCATGTACTGTAGGTCTTTCTCAGACAAACAATAATTCCTCTGTGCTTGACTCCTCAGCTATACATTAGCATTATTAATCTGCATTCATAGATTGCATTTTCTAGTATGTTGTTTTATTTTCTTGGCAGCTGCTTGATTACAGAGTGGAATTCAGTAAATGGTGGGTTACTGAATTCAAGACCATCAAATTCCCTTCCCAAGGCACTGTCTTTGATTACTATATTGACCCGGAGACAAAGAAATTTGAACCTTGGTCAAAAATGATTCCTACATTTGACTTTGATGCTGGAGTTCCTCTCCAGGTTTGTTATATTTCAACTTTAATCTGTTGGCATGGCAATTTTTATTTGAATACATAAAAATTTGGAGGCATAAAACATAAATTTCTAATATATAGATGTGTTGACCATTTAATGGAATCACATGAAACACTTGAGAATTTCCTTTTCTTTAAAATAATTTTGTACATTCTTGTTGGATCATTCCATGTGAAATCAACATAGGCCTCCTGACTGACCATCTTGAATTTACTTCATACTTTATGTAAATAACGTCATTGTACCCAGCAACTAGTGTGCAAAATTTGTGGCTTCTTTAGTTTCTGAGATCATGGCCCATAGTAAATGTGTGTTGCTAAAACTTTCAAAGTTCTCTAAGTCATTACCTTTGAACTATTTATGCTAGATGTTTGAAATGTTCAGAGATTGTTCTACACTATTAGATGCCTCAACTTCTGAAACAGTTCACCCACAGTTGCATGTTTTCAAAGTTATACTGCCTATAAGTTATACTGTATATTGCATAAATAAAATTCTTTGGAGCAAATTTTGCCCACTATAACTTCATATTCAACCACATCAGATCTTTTAAATTGTTTATATAATACTCATGTTGTAGTACTTTCTTAGCAGTAAGGTCATTTCTGGAAGAAGTGCTAATTTCTGATTTATAAGCCATTAAAAGTAACAAAAAAATTCATATTGCCCGTGTATGACATAGTCTGCCATAAAAATAATCATGCCACTGGAAAAAGCATGTTTTACTTAGTAAATGCACAAGATATGAAGTTGGTACCTTGAACCAAATTATATTTATTAAGGTATCAAGCACACAATGTTTTCCTACAAGTAGACATTCTGAAACAAGTTTATAGGACCATTTGTTTATTATGGGCCATGAAGTCCTTTTAAAGCCTCTATATCTCAGAAACTAAAGATACACGCCAAAAATGGTATACAATAGTTGTTGGGTACAATGACATTATTTGCATTGCAAGTATTGAAGCAAATCCTTGGTGGTCAGTCGGGAATATTTTCTAAAATCTGTTGATTTGATATGGAATTGCCCTGTTATTAAGTAGCATCTGGTGGAATAGCGCAGGAATGAAGAGTTGTGCACTGAAGTTTATCTAAAGTTTAAATTTTGAGTACCTTTTGGGAGGTTACTTGCGAAATGTGAAAAGTCATTCCCCGACATGTAGCTTGCAGCATTGTTTCCTTGTCATAGGCGTGCTTGGTGCACACGACGGAGACCATTCGGATTCGATACTTCATGGACCGGCTGCTTGAGAGGAGGAGGCCGGTCATGCTTGTGGGGAATGCAGGCACTGGAAAATCGGTTTTGGTTGGTGATAAACTGGGTTCCCTAGATTCTGAGAAGTACATGATCAAGAATGTTCCCTTTAACTACTATACAACATCAGCCATGCTTCAGGGTACGTTTGGAATAAATATTTCTTATTATTTATTTTGCATTTTTTTGCATAGCTAAACAGTCCTGGTCCCTTTCTAATAGTGTCACAGTATAAGAATGGTTTACTGGAAGGGTTTCATTGTTATGTTTCTAGCAGCTGAGCATTCTGTTTGCAATTCAATCATTGTTAAGCCCTTTTTTAATTGCCTTGGCTATACTGAGATTAAGCTAATGTAGGCGGAACAAAAACCATTTTATTCTGGGAGTCAAACCTCTTAATGAAGTATTTTAAATACAATTCTGCTGCAAAATATTAAGTAGTGTGTAGAATGTAGCACAAATTTGAGCCATGAACCAGTACACTGTATAATAAAATGAATATGAAATGGGCCTGAAAAAAAATAATCCATCCTAGAATTTCTGAGCTGCCACAGAAAAATATTTGCGCACACACACACACACACATACACACACACACACACACACGTAGGGTATACATATCCTTATGGGGACCGCTCATTCATTTCAATGGGAAAAATGCTAATGCTAGCTATGACAACCTTAACCCCTACCCTGCCCTAACCATAACCATAAGTAACCTAACAAAATACAAGAGTTTTTGCATTTTTAGTTTTTTCATAGCAGTCACCGATTTTTATAAAATAGAGTTTTCACTTATGGGGACCAGGAAACCGGTCCCCATAAGGGAAAAAAACTGATATTTATCACGTTATGGGGACACACACACACACACACGCTGTCAAAATAAAATGTGGCACATTATAATGATATAAGCCAGCACTTTTCAGTATCTCAGATAGACCCAGCTCAAGAGGAGTTATCAGGGAGAATCTCTTCTCATTTTTTCTCCATTACCATGGATGCCTGAAGAGCTGTGCCTCCGTGTATGGTGACTCTGATATCAATCATCAGGCATTTTGGAAAAACCATTGGAGAAGAAAGCTGGCAGGAACTATGGCCCTCCTGGCAGCAAGAGGCTGATCTACTTCATCGATGACATGAACATGCCAGAGGTGGACGCTTATGGAACGGTGCAGCCACACACACTTATCCGTCAGCACATGGACTACAGCCACTGGTGCGTATTTATGCACCCTGGAGAAATTACCACACCTTTTGGACCTGCAGGGCAAATTTGGAAATGAAAACACTTGCCAATATTAATTTAGATGTATCTATCAGATATAATTATGTTTCTGATTTTAATTATGCTTTTCAGTACCTATAAACATTTCAAGCATTCAAAAATGATCATGCAAATGTGTAATTGGTGAACAAATGTCCAATATGTGGAGTCTGGCTTCTATATTTATAAAAATACAGTGGTTTGCTTCTATATTTATAAAAATACAGTGGTTTAAAACCACTGTTTAAAACCACACTGACAGTTTTATCTAGCCTCTGCTTTTGGATTAAAGGTGAGTCATTTTTGTCTAATAATCTACTGAAACAAACCAAAATGGGACGTATCCAAGTACTGTTGAATTAAACTATTTCAGGTAAAATAAATAAATAAATAAATGATAAATATATATACAGTAGGCTAATTTATCTCACAGATGAAAAATGACTTTCCTAACCAAACACAGAAACACACAAAGGAATTTATAACAAGTTAAAAATAAGTAATTTCTTACTACATGGTCTTCGTAATGCAGTAGTATTAGTATATGCACTGCATTAAGATCCTAAAAAGACAGTGGACATAATTTAAAAATAATCAATTTTCTCTAAGGTCAGTATTTGGATAAACATTTACAGGTTAGTATTTAGATAAACAAATACAAGAATGAACCATCCCATATTTATGCTTTTAATGCTGCAGTATTGTTTATATAGAAGATATTTCAGTGGGTGAATTTTTACAATTTACGTACTCAAAATAGCTATAGAGTGCTTTATTTTGCTTGTTTCTGTCCCCGTTTTGTTGTGTTTTTTTAATTTGTTCCTTTCCCTGGGGTGCACCAGCTGTAGTACTTAAAAGGGCAACAGTGAACCATTGTATTGTACTGACTATTGAGCAGTCATGTCAGTAAGGAGGAGCAAGAATGGCAAGATTCGTAAATAATAGACTGACGCCACGAGGGAAAAACAGTGCATTCAAAATGCATGCATCGAGATGGCAATTTTTTACGCAAAACTGTCTGATACACAAAGCAATACTGAATATTCACAATAGTGGCATTTGATGCATTGTGGCCGGTGAAATATCAGTTTTATTGGGGATGACAGTAGATTGATCTTGCATTGTGCAAATCAGAAAATATTTATGGTGGGAGAAGTAGCAAGAAAAAGCCATTTGGCAAAATTCCTGGAACAAAATAGCTTGTTTTTATTTATTATTTGCATGACAGCTAATAAGTGTTAACACTCGTGCTCAGTGACGAAAGCTTCTTGCTCTCATACCTTCGTAACTTTATGTCTAGATGCAGACCAATTTAACAACCTCCCGATTTGAACAAGTTTAGCCATTCCTTTATAAACATGTGAGGAAAACAGATGAGAGGTAGTCTGTCTCGGATGGCGACAGCTGGAGGGAGAGCTGAGCTGCATCTTCAGCAAGAGCATCCTGAGCCTTTTTCCCAGCTGAAAAAGTTTGGTGTCTCTTGTTATGGAGAGTGACAAAGTACTGTATCCTCCCCCCCCCCCCCCCCCCAGGTATGACAGGAACAAGCTGTTGCTGAAGGAGATTCACAACGTGCAGTATGTGTCCTGCATGAATCCCACTGCAGGCAGCTTTACCATCAACCCACGGCTGCAGGTAACCACAGCTTACTTCTCCATTTACACTGGCACGTAAAGCTACTCCTGACTCAGATTGAGTTAATTCACTATTACTGACAAACATATGCATTTAACCTGCAGAGAAATTATACAATAAATTAAGAGCAAGAACGCTGCCGCTTTGGAATGATTTGTAACCTCACTGGAAAATAACAGCTTCACATTAATTTGAGAAAATGCAGTATGCAGTGACACTGACATTAATGGAATTTACCTTTGTGAAAGAGCGGGACTGCACTGTACTGAGTCAGGCAGTGACTGAGTCTGAATGTCGGTTGCTTTCGCAGCGGCACTTCTGCGTGTTTGCGCTTTCGAACCCGGGGGCTGATGCCCTGACCACCATCTACAGCAGCATCCTGAGCCAGCACCTGCGAGGCGAAGGCTTCGGGGTGACTCTGCTGAAGAGCTGCCCCCAGCTCACCCAGCTGGCACTAGCTGTGCACCAGAGAGTGGCTGCCACCTTCCTGCCCACTGCAATCAAGTTCCATTACGTCTTTAACCTCCGGGACCTTTCCAGCATATTCCAGGTACAACCCTGTACCCGGCTTCATTCGCTTTATGATCGATCAATCTTATCTTCACTATCATCGTCCTTATTTAGATTTTTTTTCAACCTTTCAATCTAACAAAGTTTAGTTTTGTTAATTCTTACTCAATTCAATGGATTAGCTTTTCAGTAGTGTTAAAAAATTAACCAATATACTCAATAAGACTGCATTATAATAATATATGACTGCATTTAATAATTTAGTATATCCTCCAGTTCTTTTCCCTTTGATTTTCACAAGTAGAATTTTTAAGTAAATTCAGTTTATTACAGTTGTGACTGTGGTAGTACACACATAGCACATGTATGATGTAGAATTAAGGTTTCTGAAATGAAATTTTATAGAACCACTCATGTGATTTTATTAGGAGGTTATAACTGATCATTATAGGTTGCTAAAACAAAAAAAAAACAATTTATTTAAACTGTCAGGTGTGAGTTTTGTTGGTTCAGTTAAAATGTTTTTACGTTCTCTGTACGGTAAGATGTCAGTAAATCCCAGTATGCTAAACAATAATATCAGCAATAGTAACACAAGCTTCTGAAACTAAACTCCATTTTCAGGTAATATGGGTGTACAGGAAGCAGCCTTTGGAGCTGCCTTTGTTTCGCTGTCTGGAGTATATATGAGAAAGTGGAATTAGGTGGTGAGTCTCTGGCACAGCTGAGAGATCTTTGAAGTGTTAGACTTAGTTCTGCTTTGCTGATTCTGCGTGAGCTTTGGTTGCCTGGGGAAAGTTAATGGAAGGAAGGGTCTCCTCAGTGTAACCGTACATCCCTCTTTTCTTTCATCTACTTGGATGAGAAGTTAAAAGTTTAAACATTCTCAGTTCAAGTACAGACTTGTTTGTTTTTTCTTTTTAAATTATCGTATTTGAGCTTAATTAGCATTTTCCTTATTTTTCCACAAGAAACATTTTGAAGACTAAAACTTCCCAACGATTTGTATATCCTGTAAAGTAGTTATCTAGGCATCTCCAATCTGGATATGCAACTTCTAACTTTAACGATTACAAGCACATTTATTATTATATGACAAATTTAAGCTATTAAAAAGTTTTTTTGTAACATTTGTAAAGGATTATGTTGGTGGGTTTTTTGGATTTATATGTGGTTTTAAAGTTTAGGTAATTAAGTAAACAAAAATTAATTTACAAGCATCACAAGGCACCATACAGGAAGGAAGAACAAAATACATAACATCCCTTAATTCACCTACACTAAGTCTTTATAAGGGTGTGTCACCCAGGGAGTAATCAGCTACACCATTGACATTAGACCAGGTTTTTGTTGTTTGATAGCAATTGCTTTCTACTGCCTTAAGATAGTAATGTGGCAACAATGTGTCTGACTCCACCTCATTTTTAGGCCGACATACCCATACTGTAGGTGCTCAAAGGGGCACCTGTACATTTGCTGTTCCAACAACGTGGACACTCTATGGGAAAATGACAACTGCGTCAGTCTCATGCTACCAGACACTTGTGTTACACCTGGCGCCGCTTTGTGCTGAGTGTAAGATAGGGCCCTATATTGTACTATAACTGTCATTCTATACACCCTATGTGGACTAAAGTATTGGGACACCTGGCCATTACATCTACAGGAACTTTTATGACATCGCATTCTAAATCTATAGGCATCAGTATGGAGTTGGTCCCCCTTTGCAGCTATAACAGCTGCCACTGTTCTGGGAAGACTTTTCACAAGGTTTTGGAGTGTGTCTGTAGGAATTTTTGCTGAAGAGGTTTTGAGGTCAGGCACTAATGTTGGACGTGAAGGCATGACTCACAGTCTCCATTCAAGTTCATCCCAAAGGTGTTCACTGGAGTTGAATCAAGGCTCCGCGCAGACCAGTGAAGTTCTTCCACACCAAATTTTATGGACTTGCTTTGTGTATTGGGGCATAGTCATGCTGGAACAGAAAAGGGCCTTCCTCATACTGTTCCCACAAAGTTGGAAATATAGAGTTGTCCAAAATAGCTTGGTATGCTGAAGCATTAAGTGTTCTCTTCACTGGAACTTAGGGGCCCAGCCCAACCCTGGAAAAACAGCCCCATACCATTATCCCTCCTCCACCAAACTTTACAGTTGACACAGTACAGTCAAGCAGATAACGCTCTCCTGGCATCCACCAAAGCCAGACTTGAACCTCAGATTGCCAGAGAGAGAAGCATGATTCATCACTCCAAAGAATGTTTTCCACTGCTCCAGAGTCCAGTGGCAGGGTGCTTTACACCACTCCACCCGACGTTTGGCATTGCACTTCTTGAAGTGAGGCTTGCATGCAGTTGCTCAGCAATGGAAGACCATTCCATGAAGCTGACGGTGCATAGTTTTAGTGATGGGGTGAATGGCAGAAGAAATTTGGAAGTCTGGAGTTATTGAGCCAACAGTGCATTGGCGACTTTTACGTAGTATGTGTCTTAGCACTCCACGACCCCTTTGTTACTTTACGTGGTCTGTCACTTTATGGCTGAGTTTTTGTTGTTCCTATACGCTTTCCTTTTGCAATAATACCACTTACATTTGACCATGGAAAATCTAGCAGGGAAGAAATTTCATGAACTGACTAATTGGAAGGATGGTATCCTATGACAGTACCACACTTGAATTCACTGAGCTGACCGACCGATTTTTTTACAAATGTTTGTAAACCTGACAGCATGGGTAGGTGCTTCAATTTATACACCTGTGGCAATGGGTCTGAATGAACCACCTGAATTCAGTGATCAACAGATGTGTACCGACATTTTTGTCCATTTAATGTTTGTGTGGGCCATTCTGTAGGCAAGGTGTTAATGTGCTATGAATTCTATGAATGTGGTTATCAGAGTGAAAGTGCACTTGGACATTTTACATCAGCTGTATCACTCCGCTTTACAGGTGTATCTAAAAACCATTACATATGCCTCGTTTCCACCAACACCGAGCCTGTGCTAGTGCTGGGCTAGTTCTTGCTTGGTGCCTTTTGAGAACTTGCCCGTGTTTCCACCTGTTTCAAAGATGAACATAGGTGGAAGAGAGAGTCAAGTAAAAGTGCATATGTATTCCATTTTGTGGATTTATTTTGATCTGTTTCACGCCACGTTATGACTACCTGGCCTCATGCAAACCCCTATCAAACTCCGTCAAGTGCTGGTAATGCTGTCTAATGCATACGTGAGGCATCCTCTGTGTCTCGTGACTAGATTTGCTATCTCCTTGCAAATCAAATCATTTATGTACCCAGTGTGTGTGTGTGTGTGTGTGTGTGTGTGTGTCTGTGGGTACGGTGGAGAAAAAGCAGTGATATTATTTCTTGTTGGAATGTAGTTAGCATTTTTTAAAGCATCTCAAACCAGAAATGATCTTGCTTTGTCTCTACTAGCTCATCACCTTCTCCAAAAACCAAAATCTGGCTTGTCCTTACATAATTAAATCAAATTAATCTTTGATGCCATATGGTTTTGGGGCCCTTAATAGGCTACATGTACTGCTGTTTCTGAAGTTAAAGATAGACCAAAAAGACAGAAAGAGCACACAAAGACTACTTTGTAGCCCTGGCATTTAGCAAAGGGTTTCTTATCATCAGATTTTGTGTCATTGAAAGTCAAGGTCACAGAGCAGCCACAAAAGAGTTTTTTTTTTCCTTTCCCTCCACAGGAGACCTTTTGGAGCCATCATACTGGTCATCAAATGTAGTTGCATTATTAGCCTTTCTACTCCTAGATAATCAATGCAATTATATAGTGTATGTGTGTGTGTATATATATATATATATATATATATATATATATATACACACACACACACGTATATGTAATGTGCACTTTATTAGCGTCTTCATGCTCTCCCTTTCTCTGGGTAGACTCCAAAAACATAAAATCATGCTGTTACTTTAAGTTAAGTGTGTGGTCTCTGAGGTGCACAGTGAGGTGGTCTCTGAGGTGCATGGTGAGGTGCATGGTGAGGTGGTCTCTGAGGTGCACGGTGAGGTGGTCTCTGAGGTGCATGGTGAGGTGGTCTCT